TAATTTGCGTTTTTTCAACAACTAACTAACTGCCTTATTCCCTTTATCCGTTTAGAAAGTATGTCAGATCATATCAATGATTTATGTTAATAATTAGTAGATTATTTAAAATTATTTTAATTGATATGATGATCAATATTGATTTGAATAAAATGCAACGAGTTTTGTTTTTAATACACTAAATTAATGATCAACACTTTTCACTTAAAAAAAAACATTTCACGGTAGTAATCTTGTCTAGACTAAAATAATGTACTTAATGTCACTTTTTTTGCCATGTTCGTTTTGTAATTTCTGTTTTTTTTTTTCAATTCACATGTGAGATAATAAACTTCAAGTTATAGCTAGTTCAAATGAACACCGTTGCTATAGGCAACATGTTCAAAGCTCCAATAAAACAAACAAAATGATTTTAATGCACAAATCATTTGAGTAAATAAATTACATATGATGAATAATTTAGAAAAATCATGATGAAGTGTAATTATTTATATCTGTGATAAATTTCTTAAAATAAAAACTATTTTACTGTTATTGCTGAAACCTGTTAGTGATCATACTGAACTAGTGAAAATTCAACCATTCGAGATTTTCAGAAAATTTAATAACTCCATTTTTAACACCCAAATGATTTAAATTACTCTGCTGTTCATATTTAACATTGGATTTTGATCAGTTTCGGTGTTTTTAAGCGGTTAGACAAATTACTAATTATCATGACTAGTCGGTCTTGCAAGCAAAGAGTATGAACATAAACACTAAAATGTGATATATATATATATATATATGGCATTGAATAATGTGCAGCCAGTGTACAGTTGTTTTGTCATTTACTTTATGACTCCTCATCCCAATCGTTGGGTCTCAACTAGTGTGGTATACTAACAACTGGATCTCAAAGTACTTGATTCAATTGCACATGAGAATGTATGGCATAATGCAGTAGAACCATTCTACGAGAGCTTACTGTTTCATTTTGACAAAAAATTATTTGCCCACTATAAACTACTTGGTGTCAGCTATTTTACAGATAGTTGTAATAACAATAATTGTCATTGTATTAATAGTAGTAATCAACAATAGATAGCTACTATTCATTACTTTAAACTTTAATGAAAATTCATATACATATATAAACATTTTTATCTAATAAGTTTACTGAACACGACAACAATATGTCAGTTATTTTCTTTTCGATAAATGACAACCACATTTGAGATTTGATTGTTTACTCATCAATATTATTTATGTTGTGTGAGATCTTGTACGAATTGTTTAGGGGATGTTTCATCTTGTTAAGAAACTCATCAATATTACACACCTATGAAGAAACCACAGATTGAAACCATGAGTCTCAGGTTTTATAGTGATTTGGTACCATTCAGTTGTTTACAAATGGGAATTTAGACACTTAGTAATTTAGTTTACAGTGACCGTGTCAATGTTGATACATCAAAATAAGTAAATAATCGATACACAGGTTGAATGCTGCGTGAACCCTTTAAAATGTGAAAGCCAAGGTTAAGCTTTTGTCAAAAATGTTCTGTGTTGAGCACGTACAAACACACATTGTTTATGAGACTGGACATTATTCAACCTAGTTGTTGTCTGATTTCTAACTTTAAACAAACCACCATTCTTTTTTTCGGAGTGATTTGACATTTTTCTTTTATCCATGTTTTAAAATAATCATAAACAAACGACCTGAACATAATGACTTACTATTGATTGTCTACAATGTGATATGTAATCACTCCATAATATATCTACATAGTTTTCAACGCAGATGCGAAAAAATCTATAAAGAATTCTAATCATTTTTATGACATTTTGTTCTCATTATTTTCATTGTCAGTGATATTTCATTCGTCTCAATTTATTGACTCGTTCACTTGTTCAATTTCTTATCTTACCATAACATACAGATAGATGATTAACTATTGATAATTGAATGCTTGACTTTGATTAGTGACTCTTTGTTTTTTTTCCAGCCTTCATTGTGAATATGACATTTATTGACGTTATCATTGTCTAGTTCTTTTCAAAGATGATCGAATTTTATTTTATCACATTGTGAAATGACTACTACTAGTCAAAGTGAATCGCTCTCACCAGCATCATGTTGAGATGTGACTGAGCGCAAAGCTTGACAATACAAGTACAAAATTTAGAAAGAATATCATTTTCATGAAACTGCAGGTACTCCTTACTGACGATTACTGACTATTACGAAACCTGTCAACTACTTATTGTAAAATGTTTCATGAATAGAATTAATTATATTTTCAAATAATGCGCAACCATTCGTGAATAGAATGTGGATAACAGATAATGAGGTCAATGAAAATGTGTGATTTCTATACTACTTAAAAATCTTCAAAAACGTGGTCTTCCACAATTCTACAAATGATCTTAATAAAACCAAAAGACGATCGAGTTCATTCATGGAAATCTTCTACTGTTGACGATAAAAATTTCTTCGATTAGGTGTTTGACTTGTGACTGATAGGTAACTTGTTTTTAATCCTTATCTCTTTACTTCAGTTTGGGCCGTTCAATAGTATATCAGTCATCTCGACATATATGTGAACCACAAACTTGTATATTGATTGATCACTGACTACTTACATTTGTCATTTTTGCCTGGTTGTTTAATATTGATTAAGTCCCGTCCATCAGACTACAACAATTTACCTACTGTTCTAAGTGACTCAGCATCACCTGGACTATGTTTAGACGTAAAGTAGTTGGAGGTCATGAGAAATAAATCCTCGACCTAGGTTCTATCCTGATTGCAACTTGTCGGCATAAAATCCAAGTCCACGGTCTTCTGATGACGGCTTTTAAACACCACATACATAAATCTCTAGTTAGAAAAAAAATATACACTATATAAATTAGTGTGAACCATCTTGACAGTTTCTTGTTTGCAATGTTTACCTGATAGTTGAGTGCAACCCAGCAGTTGTTCTGACCTAAATAAACAAACATGAAGGTTATTTTTTTTTTGTAAGAACTATTGAAATTGTATGCCATAGTTCTTCTATAGATCATTGATCTTACATGTTATGTTGCCTTACAAGTAGTTTGTAAACTTACAGGGTCACAGTCTATTAGAAAAAAATGTAACTGTATAATACAAAAATTACTATTTAATACTTGAACTGAATTTTTTCCTTGTCGGTTTGGCATTTGTGTTTTAAATTGCAAAATAAGTTTAACACAGGCAAATCATTAAAATATAAATCACAAACTAGCTAGCCTTAAGTAAACAATCACTGACAATCAGGTCAATTACCTTTATCCTAAAATGAAATTTATGTTCTAGATGTGGTTTTGATGGAGATTATTGACTTTTCATAGTTCACTTCACGGATTGATTGAAATTCAAGCTCAATGGTCTCTGTAGATTAAGCATTCACTGAGATATCATGATGTGTCGTGAATGTTTAATTATTGAGAAGTGGTGCTACATACACTAGGGTGAAACAGTTCTTTACTATTTTCTGTTTTTCACTGATTCATTAAGTAATCATCATCAATGATTCATGCATACTATGAGAATTCTACAGTTTTCAAAAACTTTTCATACTGACGACACATCACATGATCGTTAAATGAAAATATTAAAGATTCGTTAAATCGTACCTGGGCTTATTTTGACGATACTGATTCAAATGTTGAAAATTCAAGTAATATTCATGTTAGACAATTTAGATATATTCAACTTTAAGAAACTTTAATTAAGCTTAATCAAGCAATTCATTACTTCATTACTTTTGTAATAAAATGTTTTTGATAATTTAAACAGTAGAACCTTCGAGGCTACTGCCGGTCCCAAGCCCGGATAAAGGAGGAGGGTTGGACATGGGGTTGGCGACCCCATTCCGTCAAAAACTAACTTGCCAAAAAAACGCTAACCAGAAACAAAAAATTAAACAATTTCTGCAGGTTGACTAAAAAGTATTTTCCATGCCATAGAGCCATTTTAACAGTCATTCAAATGAGTCTCTACATTATAACTTTACCGAAATATGTTTTCAAAACAAAGTTCAAGGGGTTTTTCACGCTGAAAAAATTTCAACTATTCCCCCCCGCCTCTCTCATTGTATTATTAAAAACTGTCTAAAATTAAATTTATATAAATTGACTTTTTCTACATGATATACTACTTAAGTAGACAGATGATTGTCAGTCAATTGATCAATTTCCAATGACAATTTACAAATTGATTCATATCATCACTACATATCACATCACATAATTATTGTTGAAAATTTTTTTGTCAACTATCTGTTGTGATTTTGTCTGTTCACAAATTCCTTGTGTGTCAAAAAGTAACGATAATGATGAAGAAGAAGGAGAACAACAACATGAGAGTGTAACACTTACTTGTTGTCAGTGTTTAAATGAATTGCAAAAAGAGATGAAATATCTCTATTTTTTTTTCATTTATATTTAATTAATTAAATAATACAAATAAATTATCCCCTTTTTTATACATGGATATGTTCATTGAATAAAAAATTCTATTGGTGTTCAATGTTTCAATAGTTTTATGCCTCGGAAATAATAGTCAACATTTTGAAGCAATAAATTGACAGCAGTATAATTGAATCAAACGTTCCATTGGAGAGCTTAAAGATCATCTTTTTTTTTAAAAAAATTATTGATTTTTATATACATAAAATAAATACAGATAAGAATATGAGCAATAATAAAGAATGTATTAGTTGAGTTGAGCAAGTTAGTGCATATCTGTGTATATAACAAATGAGTTTTTCGACACGGTAGTAATCATAATAATAATAGTAATAATTGATTTCTGTTGGTAGTGCATAATAATAATTTAAAAAAAATATCAATTCGTAGAAGCACTGACAGGTTGATTGATTTCAATAATGACAATATATGAATATTGTGACATAGGAAGTTGTTTGTATGCTTACTTGTATAATTTGATGTGATAAAACAAAAACAAACAAACCACAACGCTGAATTCATAAACGTTGAATATTCTCGTCGTAATCATCAACAATGAACTTCACTGATTTCATTGTATTGGCATCAGCATCACCGTCATCGTTATCTGTAGGCTTCAGCTTCAACTCATCAACATTCTCATCAGTTTGTTGCAATTGTTCAGTTTTATTGGATGCTTTTAACTTGTCAATAATATCTTCTTCCTCTTCTTCTTCATCTTCTTCATTTAAATAAGCTTCATTTTGTGTTCCATTCGCATTGATTTTATCATGTTTATTGTGAAAGTTTGAATCCGGTATTGATCGTTTCAAATGTTTCAAAGCAAGACTGCGTGATTTCATTACATCTAAGAAAGCTTCATCAAAATCTAATTGTCGTTTTTCTTTTGGTGCTAAACTTGGCCTACGTGAATAACGTAATGCTTGTTTCACATCTGGTGTTATATCAGCAGTATTAGTAGTAATAGTGTTAGTAGTAGTAGTAGTATCAGTAGTCAATGTTGATAAACGTCTACGTGTAATATTATTATTTTTAAAACCAGTTTCAATATCTTTTGGTGATTGTATTACATTGGAAAAATTATTTGTTAATTCTGATCTTGTTGTTATATTTGATAAATTTAACAATGATTGATTGCCATTGATTAAACCTGGTATAGATAAAGTAGACAAATGTGATGTGATAAATCGTGCTTTCAATGTCTCTGGTAAATCTTTCAATATAGTTTCTGTTTTACTTGGACGCATTGTAGCATGATGCATTTTTAATGCGATTTTTTCATAAACTTTTAACATTTTCTGATCATATGCATCAGGTTCACGTTGAAGAAATCGACGTAGATATTGTTCATCTAATCGTTGAATTAAATCACGCATAGCATTACGTCCAATCGATCCGACAAGACATTCAATACCAGCTAATGTCTCATCAATTATGCTATCATTTAATGAATCAAATAAGCTCAACATTTGTTTACCTTCCATACGAATGCGTAACAATTTCACTAATGGTTTCATTGTGATGCCCATAAAACCAACAGTAAATAATATAATGAATAATGTAGTCGTGATAATCAATTCTCTATTGTATACACCATTGGAACCAAGTTTATTTGGTAGAATTAATACAGATAAAGAAAAGGCAACAGCACCTCTTAGTCCTCCATAAATTAAAACAATTTGTTGTGTAAAACTAATTTGTGTATTAGAAAATGGTGTATAATTGACAACAGCTGTAATACCAAAGACAACAATAGCCCGAGCTATTAAACACCATATCAATGCCCATAATATATAACCTGTATGCCAAACAAGTTTAATTGATACAACTTCAATACCTAAGAATAAGAAAATCACTGATTCACTCATTTCTGAAACAACTTTAGTCAGATTTCTTACCATTGTTATTGAATGTCTATCTAAATTATGAAATGCATAAGCTGCTTGTACCAAACCACATCCAATCATTGAAATAATACCAGACCAACCAACACAATCAGCCATTATATAAGAGAAATATGCCAGCAATAATAAACTGAAAGCATTCAATCGACTTTTGATTCGTGTAATTAAACAAGTGATTATACCGAAGAATACACCAATTAATAGACCACCAAAACTGACAGTAAAAAATGATGCTATACCGATACCAATCTCTCGACCAGTGACTAATTCTTTTCCAGTAAATGCATCCATAATATCATATAATACAACAGTGACAGCATCATTCAACAAAGATTCACCGAATACAATATAATACAAGCCTAATTCCACACCAATATCTTGAAATATAGCTAATACAGCCACTGGATCAACAGCGACAATTAATGAACTGAACAGCAAGAATGCTTTCACATCCATATCTAATTCTGGTTGTCCAAATCCACCGATTGCATAAATTCCATACATAACAAATCCAATAATTAAAAAATTGAATATTGTACCTAATACAGCAAAAATTAATACAACTCCAAGATACTCGGAAAATGTTCTATTATACAAACTATAAGCAGATTCCAACACAATTGGTGGTAATAAATAAGTGAAAAATAATACTGGTGTTAATTTCCAGACAGTTTCATTAGTAACACCTTTTTCAATACCATAGCGGACAATAGCACCAAATATAATACCGATAACAATTAAAACAAATGATTCTGGTAAATAAGCTGATATTAATGGTACACGATGATAAGCCATTTTAATTAGAATCATTATTAATAAAAATACCATAACAGCAATGTGTATTTCGAATTCATGAAATTCCCATTTGACTACAACAATTTCAGTTTCATGATCTTCTTCAGTATCAGTATGATTTCCAGTAGTATGTTGTTGATATGATTTATTTGTATGATTTATTGGTTTACCATGATCTTGATTACAACTGATAGTGTATAAAAATAAGAAGAATACTGCAAGTGTATTGATAAAGTATAAATTATTATTATATTCCATGTTCGTTGTTCATGCAGAATAATAAATTGAATGATAACAATATGCGATGAGATGTGATGTTCAATGTGAAATAATAGTTCGTGTTCAATGTGATTGAATACACATGAAACTATCTATATGTATGTGTATACATATTCATATATACATTTATATATATATATATATATATTTATATATTTATATATTTCTTGGATAGTGTTGACTGTAACATGCTTTCTCTCTCTCTCTGTATATATATATATATATGTATATATGTATACATATATACATATATATCATACACTGAGTTTTCAATCTGGTATTCACAATTTCAATAGCAACAACAAGAAGGTTGAGTTAAATATGGTTGGCTTTTAGTTTTTCCTCCTTCTTTTCGTTTTTGCTTATTTTTGCATTTTCATTCTTTTTCTTATTTTTTTGACACTAACTAATCATTCTGTCTGTACACATTCAAAAGTATTTTAAAAAAAAATTGGAATGGAATAGTTTTAATCGAATGTCTTTTTTTTCAAAAAAAAATTGATTTCAAACTGTGTTCTTGTTTGTTATTGTATTTTTTGAAAAATTGACCAATCACATGCTGAGAAATGGAATATATATATATGTATATATATATATATATATATATATATATATATATATATATGTATATATATATGTATATATATATATATATATATATATATGCATATATATATATATATATATATATATATGTATATATATATATATATATATATATAATGAAAATATTGAATGAAATTGTCACAAAAAATGTACATTATTTTATTAAATAGTTTGTGAAAAAGTCTTTTTCTCTTCACTAGAGATTGACATCAGTTGAAGAAAGTGATAGAAATATGAACTTGAACAAACTAAAAATTTAATCGAGCATCAAATGATTAATTTAGCAACGATTGTTAAAATTCGAAGTTATCTATCAATCATTGTTTGAACACTATTAGAAACAAGGAAGCACTGGACGGCCGTTTCGTCCTAGTATGGGACTCCTCAGCAGTGCGCATCCACGACTCCTGCACATCGCAGGGTTCGAACCCGGGACGTTCGGTATAGTGCGCGAACGCCTAACTTCTGGACCACTGAGCCGGTATCTAATGGTGTTAATGTCTAACTCAGATCAATTCACGGAGTTGCACAACCCCAGTCTTCAGTAGTTACTGTCTACACCCGAACAGGTTAAACTTCACTGGTCACGTCTTCGCACTAGTCACTAGTGAGCACTGTTACGATATTTTCGGGCAGAGTTTTGCAGGTTTGTGTTTCTACACATTTGAAATCATCAATTAATTCTCGGAGTTCTAGTTGATAAGATGTGACCAATGGAGTTCAACCCTGTCGGGTGTAGGCAGCAACTACCGAAGACAAATGGTTGAGGTCACGCAAAATCCCTAGATCAATCAGAGTTAGACATTAACACCGTTAGATGCCAGCCCAGTGGTCCGATAGTTAGGGGTTCGCGCACAATACCGAAGGTCCCGGGTTTGAATCCTGCTAGGAGCAAGAGTCGTGAATGCGCACTGCCACTGATGAGTCCCATACCAGGACGAAACGGCCGTCCAGTGCTTCCAGGTTTGTAATGGTGGTCTGACTGTTCGTTAAGTCGTATGTTCTATTTACGCTGTGTTCAGAGGTTTTTTATACATAGCAATTACCGTAAAGTACGATCGGTTCGAGATGCATTCTCGATGCTCTAGTGAAAATTCTTAACCAATTGTGCTATCATACTGGTAGTAAGGTGGATTATTCATTCATGCCACTGAATTTTGTCATCTAGCATCACAAATCTTTTAGAGCAGAAAGTGACCTCTCATGATTGAAAGTAAATGCTCTCATTGCAAAACCCAGAGATCTTTGGTCTGTTGTCTGACAAGTGCATGCTTGCAGCACATAGTTGAAGAATTCTAAATTGGTTATTACTTTGGCTGGCGTTATTCCGTAATAATAAATAGCTTCTATAAATTAAATTATTCACTATGAGCCATTAAACCCAATGTTTAGTTGATTAATAATGTTAAAAATTTCGTATTCAACTTTTTTTTGCTAGTAAACTGTAATGAAATTTCTCTATTTTCATTTTATTCTATTTCAACATTTTTATTTTTGTTTTTATCCATCCATATACATGTTATAATAGATGAATTAATTACAGTTCAATTAATTGACTGTTTGACACTTCACTCACTCACTATATTGTCGACTTTTCTTAATGGTAGTAGGCAAAAACAGTGGGATGCATTTAAACAAACTGAAAACTAATAAAACAAAACAAATATCTTTTTGCCCTCTGTGTAGAATTCAAATTCAGTATATATATGTATTTGTATATTCTTCATTTTGAGTAGACAAGAGAACTCATGTAAACTTTGAACATAAAATACAAACAATTACCAAATCAATAACAGAGACGAAAAACTAAGCTATATATATATATATATATATATATATATATATATTGACGTTTTCTCTTTCATTTAATTTACTTTGAATTGAAAATAATAAAAAAAAACAGTGGTATGTTCGAATAACTGGCCGAGGTGTTTTAAACTTGCAACTGTTTTTTCTTTCACAGAAAATAGTTAACAGCCTCTTCCTTATAATTTGATATTAAAACTCATATCAGGACTCGACCAATGGATAAGATGTTTTATTGAAGTAGCCTGCACAAACTAAACATATACTGGTAAAGATGGATTGAACTTCAGCCAATCAAATCAGCGTTGAAACAATTCAAATCCTTGCTAACCGCAATATAAATATGATACCCGTTTCGTAAGTGGGTGGCTGCATGAGTGGTACGCGCTACGTATAAGTAGTATATGACACGAGTGTAAACGTAATGTCTGGCAGCAGAAGATGGGGAAAGATCAAGAAAGAAAGAGTGGGAACACAATGGAATTTGTATGAAACGCATGAATAGTGAAATGTCCGACAATGGATTGATGATTGACTGAAGATTCGCAAATTAACCGTTTACGATATGGTTTTCCTATTTTACCAATTAACTCTGTAATTTGCGATAAATACAATTCGGTTGCCCTCACCTGTGTTCTCCTTCACTACACATGAACTCTATTTCTCACTAGATCACACACTAGGTTTTTGGAGGGAAAGATACTGGATTCCAATCTCATTGTATGCATCAACTTATGTGTGACTAACGAATCTCAAATATGGCAGAATTTGAGCAATGGATTCCAACTCTAGTGACAATTCATCTGTTTACGTAAAGAAGAGTAGGTCTTGTAGAAAGAGTATGACCCAATTGAGCTATTCAACTGAAATGTTGGTTTTACCCTCAATGAATAAATTTTAACTTTTAATGACTGTATTAGAATACGAACGAATATTGCAGTTAACTTCAGTCATACTCATTGTAAAATTAAACGAGAAATGCTACGTGATATCATTTAAACTTTTGTTAACTAAAATAAAAAGATTGACATTGACGAGAGAAATAATTGAGTAAAATTTAATCAATAAGAAGCCAAATACGGTTTCGTGGATAAATTTATCTCATGCATTCATTTAAGCAGACAAACACAAGCAAATAGAAGTAAATTGGAGAAAGCCACTAAACCGATTCTATGCACTGAAGTATGACTACGTACGTATTTATCGCAATCAAATATACAGTTGTCAATACTGTTATCGAATTATTTGAACAATTAGTCAATAAAGCTTTTCGAATGGTTATGTGCGTAGGCGCTAAGCGAATGCCCAAGCATACATGTATGTATTGTAGGGTTCGTCACTAGGTACGCTTGAAGCTATTACAAGTTCACGTTAGTCGATAAACATGAACGAGACAATTACCAGCGTCCAGATAGGCTACCTTGAATCCTAAGCTGAAGATAGAAGACTTTGTAAGCGTAGAAAGTATATTCTACAAACACCCAGCAATCACAATACAGTCAAGCACACAACTCTCGTTTATTTATACATCATAGAAACGTCCTTGGGACAGTTACGAAAATAGCATACTAAAATACACAGCAGCCAGTCACAGCCATGGATTTACCTGGTGGGAAATGAAGTCTCAAGGTCAACTGATCAGCCCATGCTCGCAAACGTGAAATCCAAAATAAGGCATTTATCAAGCGAGTTTTGGGGATCTAACATCCTCAACATGCATATAGGTTAAACAGTGACAAAATTACACAATGTATGTGAGACGCAACAATATATCTCATTCAGTAAGTGAAACAGTTTAAGTATATTAGGTAGCTGTGGGAAATGTTTTGTATAGGATGTGTTAGATTTTTGATTAGTCTAAAACGTTAAAGGTTAACTATACACAGAATAATTTCTGATATTTTTAGCAAATCATTCAACGCTGGCATTGTCGGTCATGTGCAACAATTCCTTGGAAGTGTCTTCAACAACCAGGGATTCGATGAAAATGCTTTGATCAGTTTATGTTCATTAAAAAACTTGTAGGAGAGTTCTAGAAAAAAGACAGATTATTTTCATGATAAACTGATTGCACTTTGAACGATTTTGTTGCCGATTTGTAACGCGTTTTCAAAGAACTGAATTTGTAAGGGTCGTAATTAGTTGTGATAAATATCTTTGTTTTGTGTACATAAATCAGATTTATAAGTAAAGGTTGCGTTCCTACTTTCAGTTCTCTGTTGAGGTTGTAGGGGGCTCAGAAGCGATCAGGAAATGCAAGTACAAAACGAATTAAAAGTATGAAATCATTCGAAGTAATCAGGTAACTGAAACTAGTTAGGCAAGATGAAAACAGTGCAATTTCAAATAATCAAGCCTAGTAAAACGAAATAATTTTCATTGATTCTCAGCTTTCAGTTTAAATGATCGTTCTTGAATAGACAAATAAATTATAGAAGTCAGATTTATGGTTCACTGTTCAGATATCTGAGAAATGAGGTAAATAGCTCCTTCTAGCCGCTTAAATCACCCTTTTATTCAGTTCTGTGTAAGCTTACAGAATGTAGTAACTGTAAGTAATGAGATGA